AATTGGTTAAAAATAGCAGAAAAAATATTTTATCAACTTGTTGCTCTCACGTTTGGGACAGGTGTAGCTAAAATTTTAGAGCTTTTTTGTTCCCAGGCTCCAATCGTTGCAATTTTTTGCAAAGCATCCTTATTTGACATAGGTATAAACATATAAATGTTTGGAGTTTGCTCCATATCCGGAAGTGAGCTAACTCAACGACCAAAAAATGCTGGACCTGTATATATTACATTTATATAATATATATATATATATATATATATATATATATATATATATATATATATATATATATATATATATATATATATATATATATATATATATATATATATATATATATATTATGGTTATTACCGTAAAGAAATTAAACTGTATCACAACCTGAGCGTTTAAATTAATACTTTTATATTTGAAATTTGTTTAAACATTTAACATTAGTGTAAAACTTGTTCGTAACTTTGAGGAAAAAAAAAATTATATTTACAACTTTTGCTTATGATTTAATGTGTTTAACACTTCGCCATGTATATATTATTATTACTTAGATTTATTGAACACCCGATGTAATAACATTTACGAGGTAAAAAAAAAAAAAAAGTACTTTCCAGTGATTTTCACTTAATAATTTTTTCTTTAAAAACTTGTTTAAAAATGTCTATTTGCTCTTATGGATACTAGCACTCTTCTTTATATATTAAAGTTTTTTCAATGTCTGGGAGAATTTTACTATTAGAAAGTGCTTTTTTTACCTTTTATTTGTTTTGTATTAAATTATTAAAATTTAATGTCAAACCACGGCATTGTTCTTTGATTTGGGAAATAAAAGAGTGTTGAAATAAAGGGTTACTTGGTTGTGAAAAAAAAAATGTCTGCAGCAGATTTATTTTTAAGAAGACGGTTAAACAATTTTAGTTTGTTTTGCTTGATGCAATTTGAAATTTCCTGGATTTTAAATATAGAATTCGTATAGTCCTTACTGTGTTTCGAAACAATCAAAAGTGATTTCAGCGCACTCCTTCCAATTCTATCTAAACCTTTCATTAATGCGTCATTTTTCTCCCACAGCTCTATACCGCAAGTCAAGGTTGGCACTGCCAACAATTTATATATATAGGAAAAGGAATTCGGGTGGGCAAAGCGGATTCCAGACTGAATAAGAGTTTGTGCAACGACTGTAAAGTTTGAATTTTTTTTATTCGCATTTGAAAAACTGAGTGATACAAAAGTTGAATATTTGGTATCCCATGTAAACCCCATGTGTTAAAGTTTGTTCTGAAGATTTTTTTTAATACCAGAAACGGATATCGTATAGCTTTGTATCAGTGCTTTAAAGAGTTCAGTTTTTTTGTCATTCAACTTATTACAATTTAAACCACTGTGAACACTGTACGTTTTTATAAGCTTTTTGAGGCTCGAAAGGGTAGAGCTTATAAGTATAATATTATCTGCATATGAGGTGAAAGAATTAAACCTTGTCTTAATCCTTGTTTTGGACGAAAGAACGAAGATTTGCAACTTTGATTCGCACTTCTAATGTTGTACAACGAAAAAGTAATTTTAACTATACAGAATGGTAACTGTAGTAACAGAGTGGTAATTTTTTTTCAAAACAAGTAGGATATCCCAGGTAGGGATTAGATATTCAAGAACTTTTGTAAAAGTTGATATAATTCTGAAACCGCAATAGTTACTCAGCATCTAAAATTTTTTTGTATGTTTTAAGTAGGTGTACAATAACTGATGTCAACATTGATTTTGATGTCTATCCTACTTTAATGGAGTAGTTAAAAAATTCTAGTAGCCATTTTGTGGTAGTATAATATTTTGCGTAATTCAAATGTTCTGCTGATATACCAAAGTTTGGATATATTTTTGATTTTCGTTTAGAAGTAGCCATAACTATATTCTTCAGTTATTGTTCATCATGTTTTGTACAGAGTGGAATTCATCAATTTTCATAATAATGTGCTATTTTTGGAGTGTTCTGTATATTTTCAAAGTTGTTTGCGAATTCTGAAGTAATGAATACCTTATAGAATTTGTATCTTCGTTTAAATATTTGAAAGCCTTCCAAATGTTTTTCGGCTCACTATTTTTTTGTGCGCTAAAGTTGACAACAGAAAAAAGTTAAAAAATAAATAAAATAGCCATACGGTTCTTAACGTTTCAAAAATACACAGCTCTAATCAAAAGTAAAATTTGTTGAAAAGTAAAACGCGCAAATCGCCGGAAAATAAAAAATATATACAAGGATTTTAAATATCTGTTTAAAAAAACTTAAAAAAAAACTACTAAATTTTTTTGTTACTCTAAACTACTTAATAAGTATAAACATAACTCGAAATGCACTTGGGAAGTAATGAAGGAAAATAGTAGAAAAAAAACCTTGCTTATGTTTCCTACCTCGATAACTTTGATGACTTGATGATTATTATGCACTATTTAATGCGTGTTTGCTTTTTGTTGATACAACCATTTATTGCATAACATGATAAACTAGGACAGAAGATTTCATCCCAAATGTCAAAATTAGCTACACAAATTTCTTACCACCTATGAAAAGTGCTGTAAACACACCGTTTAATGAGAAAAATTCCTTAAGCTGCGACGTGTCATCACGTAATACACCAATATCCAGAATCATTATCTGTAGTCAAGAAAATGTAGTCTTAAATCAGTTACAGCATCAACAACTGTTTTACATGCTGCTTCCTTTGTATTATTAGTAATTTTTAAATTAAGTTTGTCATAAATTTTTGGAGCTATTGGCTTTTGCATGTTCACTGTAAACTTTTCAATTCAAAGATTTAATCTAATAGAGCCCTCATTGTGTATACTGTTTGAGTGCTTATACCATAGTTTCTTTTTTTTGTTAATTAATTTAGAGGTGTAAAAATCATTTAGATATTTACTCTTTCAAAAAACTGAAATTTCACAAGCAAGTCTCAATTAATACTAAAGTCGTTTGGAAACAAGTTAGACAGTACAAAACGCTCAAAGCAATAACATCAAAAAAAAGTTGAACAATCAAAAATTGTATATCTTGTCACGTCATTGTTTTTAATATTAGTATATTCTTTTTTAGGAGAAACATATTTACCCTTGTAGATGGAAAATTTATAACATTTACACTTAACTGCCACGTAAAACTTTCCCATTAATACTCTTCTTTTTTTAAGTTTGTTAATTTAACTCTGGCTTAACTATGTTTTTAAACTCAAAAATAAAAAATTTCTAGCAAAGAAATAATATTTAAATTGAACTATAAACGAACTTAGATTTTATATTTCAAATGTATTACATTAATCTATATAAGGTCAAACAAGAAGCCAAACGTATTTTTAACTTGGAAATTAATACGCAGTTTTGCCTAAAAAATGAGGTACAAAACTTTAGGTTTTTTGCACTCTAAAAAAAAAAAAAAAAAAAAAAGGCTTATTTTTTATATTTATAACTTTTTTTTGGTAAAGCCACTGCGATTTCTGAAATTCCCATTTATTGTATGTCTAAATCAGTTAATTCATTTTTGGGAGTTTTTTGAAAATTTCTGGGGAGTATACCCCTTAAACCGATATTAATCGATATCAATGCGTACCAATCGATATGATATTAATGTTTACCAGTCGATATTAAAATGATGAAATTGTTTAAAAATATTAAATAAGACTCAAAAGGTGTTTCATATTATTTTTAACTCTAAAAATTTTAAACTTTAAAAACAACAACTATTAATTTATTAGTCTTTAAAAAAACAAAAAAATTTTTTTTAACAATTTTCTCAAAATATTATGGCAATATATACAAATTTACATATAGTTTAGAGTTTGGCAGATTTCATTTGGCAAATGGACACGATCTTTTTGTATGGCCTAAAATAAATTAATATATATAATTAAAAAACTAAATGATTCCTTTTTAAAGCAGTTTTTAAAGATGGTTTTACCAAATATTACACACTTTAAATTAATTAAAGTGATACCACTAAATATTAAAAAACTCTCAAAACTTAATAAACTATAGATAAATGTTATATTAATAAACTATAGATAAATGTTATATTAATAAACTATAGATAAATGTTATATTAATAAACTATAGATAAATGTTATATTAATAGAAAATACATTTATTGCCTCGCAAATTTTGCCGATTTTGTAGGAAAGATTTTTAACGGATCAATTCAAAATACAATAACTTGAAGTATACTGGTACAAAGCACATAAAATTTTTTACACATGTTCTAAACATGTAAGTTAAGGTTATTGGGATTATAAGATTAGTTAAATACATCAACAATTATCACAATCTTCTATATAAAATAAAATACTTTTATATAGAAGATTGTGATAATTGTTGATGTTAAAAAACAAACAAACAAACAATTCGAGCTTTAAAATAATCAAATGAAGGGGTCGTTCATCACGCAATTTTTAAAAATTTTGGACTCTTTAAAAACCTTCCCCTCCCAAGTAACAAATTATCACGTATTACTGCCCCCCCCCCCCAACTAAAATTACTTGAAAATTTTTTACTTTCCCCATCCCCTAAAAATATTTTTTGTGGTCATTATTTGTATACACGTACAAATAAATACTTTCAAAAAAAAACTATTATTTTTACGCAAAAAATGTTCAAATTTATTTTTATTATTAAAACACCTTGGCATAGGACGTTTAATATTACATATTTTGAGGCGCGGATAACATTAGGGTGTCCCGTTTCCGCATTTTTTTTAATTTTGAGTTAAACTTTTTATGTGAGGTATATGAGATAATGATTAAAAAATAATCACTGTTACAATTATTGTAAAATTTTAAGACAATCAAACATTACTTAGGGGTTATCTAGTTACCTATCTCAGTTACCTAATTTGAGTAAATTGTATTTTTCGCGCCTATTTTTCAACAATTTTCAAGATTTCACTGTCAGTTTTTCAAGATTTCAAGAACTTTAAGTATGTTATTCTTCATTAGCTTAAGTAAAAAAACTGGGCTGAAAGAAAAATATTTAGGGGTTGCATAAGACAGAAATAATATGTTACTTATGTACAAAATTGCCTAAAACAATGGTAAAAAGAACTATATGTTACTTAAGTTTCTTTTTTCCTATGAGAGACACCTGTTTGCGATGATTCTCAACATTAGGAAGTGCGTATTGTAACTGCTTTGGAACTTGGAACTTGGAAGATTTTGTTTTTAAAGTCTTGGATCAGCTTGATTCTTTGTTTAGCGTAGTCATTATCTTTGTTAAATGCTCAACAGGTAGTTGCAACCAATCCACTTGATTAGATTATTTTTGAGTAAATGAAACAGTAGCTAGGAATCTTACCCAATAAGCGACACAAAATCAGGAATTTTATTTAGTTCAATTTGTAGAAATATTGGTTTTTCAAGCTTGACTTGTTCATTTCTTTTGATGTTAAACAATTTCAAAGCTGCAGCAGAACGTTCGATCGCAGGAATAGATTCATCAAACAAGATGAATAAAACTAACTGTTGAAGTTAAATACCAAAGATGCCTGTAACACGACTGAAGGGCGGCACCCACTGGTATACTGTCAAATTCGCGATACCACTGCATGTCAGTGATGTACTGGCAATCAACATTTGGTGCAATTGAAATTTGACTTTGCAAAAAAGCTTTTGCTTGGAACAGTGCAATGAAATTCATCATTCTCTTAAGTATATAGCGTTGGCCCTGGTTGAGCCAGTTAATTTGTTTGTCCAACATTACATACTTAAAGATGTATTTTATTTTAAATGAATCTTGCATGATGATAAGCACCAGATTTCTCGAATCGAAAAGTCTTTTCATCTTGTAATTTTGCGCCAAGATAAACAATAACCAGATAATAAGTTCCCAATACTCTTCTCTTGGAAATGTATTTTTTTGTAGACAACTGCTGACCCATTTCAAGACAGGTTTTGCTTGACAATTGATTGGGTTATCTCCGTCTGCAGGAAATTCAAATTGCATAATATCTTTTTTTTTGTGGGAAATCGAGTCTCAGTTATCCTGAAGCATTTTAAGTAGCGACTCGATTAACCCAGTATGGCTTCCAATAACTGCTTCCCAGACGTGTTTAATGTGTAACTCATAAATTTGGTGCCGACAAGCAGCCCATAAAATTGCACGACTGATATCCTCCATTAAAGCCGCACATCCTGCCTTACAGTCGGTGTTACTAGTTGTAGTGTCGAAACAATCAAGTCATCAAGTAGCTTCCATGATTTAAAATTGGTTGACAAATTGATCTTTTTGGGCTACACCAATGCATTTTGGGATTGTATGAATCCTGAGAACTTTAAGATTTGAATCTTCTGCCAAACCATCCCATTCACTTTGAATTATGGCAACATCCCATTCACTTTGAATTATGGCAACATCCCATTCACTTTGAATTATGGCAAACTGCTCTTCTTTATGTTCTGTAAAAAAAAATCAAAACAAAAGATATCTTAGGGTTATTATTCTATGTAATAAAACGGTGTTACTTTCTTATTGATATCTGAATAGTTTTACTGTTAAGCAATGAAACAAGTTGGCGGCCATGGCGCAGTGGTTACAGTGCTTGCTTTATAAGCAGGAGATCCAAGTTCAAAACGAGCTCTAGACATATTTTCGCGCCAGGGTAAAGAAGGAGGCATGAACTTCCTGGTTAAATGCACTTCCATGGTGCTCTGTGACAAGACCCTTAGGTCTTCTTGACGCACCTAAACAAAAAAAAAAACTTTTCTATCTCAGTGACCGGATAGATGAAGTGGAGGGTTGCATTCATAATTATATTTTAATTGATGAAATTGACTTTCTCGTTCTTTCTTTTGTTGACAATGAACATTCAATTTTGAAATAGCAAACTGTTCAAGGGGAGCGCCAACAGTTTTAACTATTTTTGCTTCAATAGCATGTACTTTTTTTTCTCTTTGGTTTAAAATACAGCTACACTACTGTTAGCAGTTCTGAATTGCACGCTTGCTTAAAAACCAATAAACTCTAGTAAAAATTAGCAGTTAACATTATGTTGACATAATAGAGTACACATAGAGTAATAAACTAATAATACTTTTGATAAGCCAGGATATATACAGAAAAATTTTATGGGATTTTTCCATAGAATTTCCCTGCAAAATTTTCCTTAAACAAATAAAGATAGCTTGGTGTGATGAAGTGGCAACAAAGATAGCTTGGTGTGATGAAGTGATAACGAAGATAGCTTGGTGTGATGAAGTAATAACAAAGATAGCTTGGTGTGATGAAGTAATAACGAAGATAGCTTGGTGTGATTAAGTGATAAAAAAATAGCTTTACAAAAGAAAAATACTTTCAACACTCGGAATAGAAGAAATAAGAGATTTGTTGCAAAACGATTTCTGAAAAAGTAAAATTAAAAATATCTACTGTACATGATAATAGCAATATATAGGTTTAACGGCAGCTACTGTGTTTTGCCAGAATAATGAATAAGTTGGATAAGCTGATTTATAATAAATCAATTTTTCAATTGAGTATAATTATTCATGATTACATTTACTATGATAATTTTATTTTTGTTAATTTTTTCGATAATTATTAGGGAATCAAGTATTGGAGTTTTCATGGTATTTAATCTTTTAAAGCTAAACTATACATTTTTTTTACGATTTATTATCACTGATGGTGATAATAAATCGTATAGATGGGCATACAACATGTATTTGACTAAGTTTTTTTTTTAACAGTTGTTTTATTTCATTGAGCTTTGATATCAGCAATGTTACATTTGAGAGCATCAATACTTCTGACTTAGACTTATTTCCAGATTGAGTAAGCAAACATTACACTTATTTCCAGATTGAGTAAGCAAACATAAACGAACTAAAAAAATTTTTTACTTGAAGGAGGAAGAAAATTTGAAATCGTGGTTTTGCTTGATACTTTATCTTATTTTAAAATAGATTGGCATACAACATAAAACCTTGATTTGCATACAAAACATTTACTACATTTTCTGTAACTGATTATGTATTTTTGCAGGCAGTACAATCTCCATTACTGTCTAATTTGCTGCTAATTGACATCATTTAAAACTTTTTTTAAAAAGTTTTTGATTAAATTTGATTATTCTTTTAATTAGCTGAAACTACTGAAGAAACCAAGATTCCTAAAGACAACAAGTAAAGATTGAGGATCTTCATAAAGATCTAGAATAATTAAGTCATAATTTTGAATTTATATGACCCAAGGTCATATAAATTCAAGGTGAACTTACCCTAACATGTCTACACTTGAAAGATTTAAACATTTAGTTTGAAATACAGAAAAAGAAAGTAACACCAAGCACAGCCTTTAAAATTTATGTAAACGTAATAATAACTTATGTACACGAAATAAACTTATGTAAACATAATTGCAAATGCCTAAGTAATCTTCATCAAATTAATTTTTAAGAAATCAAAGAAAAAAAAGCAATGAACTAATACAAGAGCTTTTGAAAAGAGAAACCACATTTGAAAAGAGACATAAAAATATTTTAAAAATGTTTTTGTTTCAAAATTATACATAAAAAAATATTTAAAATAATTGATTGTTAATGATTTTTGTTCCTTGCTAAATTTTATAATTTTTTTCAAACAAAATTCGAAATTTGGATACAGAAAGTAACACCAAGGTATCTCTTAAAATTTATGCAAACATAATAATGTACACATAATAAATTTATGTACACATAATTGCAAATGCTTAGATAATCTTAACACTAAAAAATAAAAATACTTTTACCAAAAAGATATACATTAACATGTAAAATGTATAAGTAACATAGATTCTTATGGTTGAATTCTCAGACGTAATTACTCTCTGTAGCAATATTATTTCTTGCTATGTGATGCATATTATACCTATTGAGTTCTCGCCTAGCCTGATTTATTTCATTTTGATTACAATTTATTTCAGCTTGCCTGGACTCACCTCTTTCATTCCGATGGCGGTTTATTTCAGCTCGCCTGGGCTCATCTTTTTCATTCCGTCGACGGTTTATCTCAGCTCGCCTGGGCATATATATATATAGCAATAGTTTATTGAACAAGCATGTATTAAAATTTCTAATTGCAATTATCGTTCAATTATTTGAAATTTTATTTATTCCTAGTGATTTTTTATTTCTTTTGAAAAAAAACCTATGAGATATTTAAAACATTGCAAAAAATCTTGACTATTGTTCAACACATAAAATTCTCAAAAACAGACAATTTTTACAATTATTTGCAATATATTTATCATCTTAAAATTTCAAGTAAACTTTGAGTGTGCAAAGGATTCTCATATTTTTGTTGTCTCTCAAGTTTACAGCCTCTCCTTTAAAGTTCACTTTAAAGATGTATTTCAAATTAAAAGATTAGACAAAATATTTTTTTGTTGTGTTGAAATTTTTATACTCGACAAAAATTTATAAAAGAAATACTTTTAATTATTTTTTTGCAGCAGTTTCAATCTTTGCATTATTTTTATTTTCTTTTTAGACTATTTAATACCACTTGAATGAAAAATTTAAAAAAGATAATTTCTAATAAAATCTAAATGATAAGTTTTTAAGATATTTAAAAAAAAAAACAAAAAACAAGTTTTTGTTAAAAAAACAAAAGTAGCAGAAATGTTGCAGAGGCTGCTGAAGAAAAAGTAGTAGAGGCTGCTGAAGAAAAAGTAGTAGAGGCTGCTGAAGAAAAAGTAGTAGAGGCTGCTGAAGTGAAGTACAAAAAATGAGAGCAAAATCAAAGATTAAAAGTTTAAGCATTTGTTTAACTTGTCTAATTACAACTATGGACAGTAGTAACTTGCAATATTGCAACATTTATATTTCACTTGGTGCTAAATTAAATACAAATAAATGTTCGTAACCTGATATGATATATTTTTTTAAAACAAGTTAGATACTAAATAAAAAAATTAACTATAGTATATAACTTCATATGAGTTTAAATTGTAATTTAAAATTTCATTTTATATATCATATTTTGTAATTTGCCTAAATTTTGATAAACTTATACTAAAAAAAAAAAAAAAAAATTTAATTATTTTAGGTACCACTCTTGGATAGAGATTAATAGTTTTAGGTATCATTCTTGAGATAGAGATTAATTGTTTTAGGTACCACTCTTGGATAGAAATTAATTGTTTTAGGTACCACTCTTGGATAGAGATTAATTGTTTTAGGGACCACTCTTGGATAAAGATTAATTGTTTTAGGTACAACTCTTGGATTACTTAAAGAATTAAAAATCTAAAAGCTAGAACCAAAGAAAGATTTCAAATTTGTAAGATTGATTTAAAAAAAAAATGTTAAAAAAAAAAAACTAGAAAGAAAAAATATCAAGCAGATAAAATCTAAAATCTTACAAGATTATGTCAGATCATATACTAATCAACTCATTCCATAAAATAAATGAAGACATTCTGTCATTCATTTAATTAAAAGAAGACATTCTGCTGACTCAAAATAACTAGATTTGGAAACATCAAAATGGCTTCAAAAAATGATTATTCAATCTGATTTCCAAGAACAAATTAAAACTAGTAAATAATTATTTTTATGTTATTAATATTGAAATAAATCAATTAATATTGGATTAAATCAAACTCTCATTGCGATTTTGAAAAAAAAAGCACTTTCTAGACAGTGACCATGGTTTTATATTATGTTAATATATTACAATATTTAACATAATTAAAACAAATAATTATAAAAGTTTCAAATATTATGAATATAAATTATATAATAAATTAATATAAAAACCTTCACGAGCACAAACTCCACACTTTCTTTTTTTTGTTTGTTCTTGAGGTAGACCACCAGGTGCTTTTCTTTTACCTGAAAATATTTTAAACCTTGTTATAGATTTAATTCAACTTTTAGCAATGAAAGAATCAGCATTTAATGATTACTTTTTCAAAAAAAAAAAAACTCCCTGAAATAAAACAACCCAAATAACAAAAACTGTAGCAAAAATGTAGACATCTTTAATTTTAAACTGATATTTGGGTTTCTACAACATTATATACAAGTTTTAATTTTTTATACACCAAACTTTGTGTGTGAGTATATATATATATATATATATATATATATATATATATATATATATATATATATATATATATATACATATATATATATATATATAAAATATATATATATATATATATATATAAAATTTTAAACTGATATTTGGTTTTCCACAATATACAAGTTTTAATTTTTTATACACCAAACTTTGTGTGTGATATCCATTTATATATATATATATATATATATATATATATATATATATATATATATATATATATATATATATATATATATATATATAAATGGATATCACACACAAAGTTTGGTGTATAAAAAATTAAAACTTGTATATTGTGGAAAACCAAATATCAGTTTAAAATTTTATATATATATATATATATATATATATATATATATATATATATATATATATATATATATATATGTATATATATATATATATATATATATATATATATATATATATATATATTACGCACAGATCGGGAAGTTGCGCATTTCACAAACTGCATTTTTTAGCGCATTTCGTGAAATGGGTAGCGCGGTTGCGCAGTATGTGAAATGTTAAACTTTTGTAGTTTTTTTTAATATATACTCTGTATGATAAATATTTTTTATAATACATATATGTTTTTTTAATTAATAGACTACCTGTCCAATCCAAACCCCCTGTCGGTATGCGCACACTCCCTTGCGTGTTCTACCTAGATAGTCAGTCAATTTATGTATACTCCCTGCAAGTTCTCCTAGATCAGTCGATACAAGTACACTCCACTGTCAGTCGATAAAGTACACTCCACTGCGCAATTTCCTATTTAAGTCAATATTAATATATATTATACATAGCATAATAATATATTAAAAAAAAAACCTATAAAAATTTTACATTTCACAATCTGCGCAACAGCGCTATCCATTTCACAAAATGAGCAAAAAAGTGCACAGTTTGTGAAATGCGCAATTTCACAATCTGCGCGTAACACACACACACATATATATATATATATATACATATATATATATATATATATATATATATATATATATATATATATATATATATATATATATATATATATATATATATATATATATATATATATATATATATATATATATATATATATATATATATATATATATATATATATATATATATATATATATATATATAAATTAGTAGAAAATCACTTAGCAAAAATTTTTCTCATTTAACACTGTGTTTCATCAATAAAGACTCATCAGAAATGCATTTCTGATGAGTTTTTATTAAGACTCATAGAAATGGCACGGAACGTTGTATCGACAATTGATTACATCTTATTCAAAGTAGTGATTGACGAAAAGACTGCAAATTACATACGTCCAAACAATCCTTGTCGCCCTCCCCTGTTCTATGGACTCCCCATAAGGATGGTATAGAAGCCATCAAACTACTTTTTAATAACATACCACATGACCTAAGAACACCCAATTCACCACCTGTAGCATATATACAGATTATGATTGACACCATTCTGACAAACACGACGTTCCAGTTTGACGACCGCAACTATTTACAAATGACAGGGACATTGATGGGTACACGCATGGCACCACCATATGCTAACATATTCAATGAACAAGGTATACGTATCAACAATGCGATATTACACAACTGGCACCTTATCCACAATGACCCAGAACTCTGCACACTATTTCCACCAGTACCCACCCTCACACACACTAACACACTTTCCCTCAGAGATAGACTTATCCGCACTAAATACACTGCCAATCACAATAACTGAACATCCACTGTTTGCTCTAGTTCGTATTCAGCTGGTAGGACGTACTTCTGCCCCCACCTGCATGTTACAATTTTGTATTTCAATTATTTTACACATAAAATATACCGCCTATGTTGTTTATGTTTTTTACTTTATTACATGATCAATAAGCCAAATTGTTATATTATTATTCGTTCGACGCTTATAGTTTATAATTCGCTTATAAATACACCAGAAAATTACTAGAGGGCTTTTGTTTATACCCCTTAAACAAAATGCTTAGACACATTTACACAAAGATACTAGACACATGATTTACACACTTAACTGCTATTTTAGGATGAACATGCTATAGAGATATTCCTTCGCCAAGCCACGGAGGACGCGAACGCATTATCTAACGCAAGTCTTGATAGAGAACGATACATCATTTACAAAGAAATGAATGGAATATGCTTCCACCCTATGAATACCTGGCCACTATCCATACAGATAATATTCTGGAACATAACTATAACTGACACTGAAACATTCAAATTGACACTTATTTTCATTGGTAACGGATGCTTTCCATACTTAATTTTCAAATTCCTTATTCTCGGCTTTAGAAAAAACCGCGCAAAATATAAAAAAAGAATATACCAACTGTGGTGGCTAGCTAGAAACATTGAAAACCACTCACATAGATGGTTTTATTTTGACATTTATCTCAATTCTATGAGGTATTTAAACATGGACCCTTGTCCATGTGAATGGAAAAATCTTGAAGATAAACAAAATGATTTATCCATATTTTATTTAGAATAAAATATCACAATGAATGCATTTTATATCTTACAAAATACATACTAACCACACAAGGACTACAACGATCAAACTTTGCTATACACTTTTTACATATGGAACGCCCCAAAACAAGACAAAAATAGATTAAGTTTAGCATGCGTTCTTTACAAGACAGATCCATTTGTTTATCACTTTTACCACCCTTTAGGTGGTAGATTAGCCACTTTACTTACTTACTTTTAATTTTTAATTTTTTTCTATTACCTTTTAGTCACTCTAATAGCTTATACCATGTATTTCGGTTATACTTTTTGTATTCGACTACCATATTGTTAGATTTTTTTGATCCTAAGAAAATTTATCTGACATCGATAAGCCAGTTTGTTTTAGTTTTGCACTATACAGTCTTCAATAGCGTTCTTATGGTTATTATGTAAACAATCTTTGTTTTTCAACTCGATTTTTTTAGTCCACTAGATACTCTTTGATTGATTACGCATTTATGACCTGTGTCGGTCCACTCTCATATAGTATTCTACATATTAAATTATTATTCATTTCTGGTGTATCCACTAATTATATTGTGTATTAGCTGGCTATCTTGAGTTTCAATCTATTTATTTATTATTATCTAATACTATTTTCAGTTAAGAATTATCTCCATCTATCAGGTGAGATTTATATTCTCTGAACAAATTGTCTTACTAAACTCCACACCACATTTGTATACCTTTACCACGTACACCACGTTTGTACATACCTTTACCACGTACTATTTTTATTCCTAGTTTAAATCATTACGAGTCGTGATTTCCTGGATTGTTAATATACATATATATATATATATATAAACAGATATATATTAGGCATTACTTTATTAAAAAATGGTAAGTTAATTTGAAGTATTATGTGCTATCTGCTGCTTATTATTTATTTTGTTGTCATTGTCACTATTCTATATGCTCTATTGTCACTATTTTGTATAGATATGTTCATGTGTATGTATGTATGTATGTATGCATGTATGTATGTATGCATGTATGTATGTATGTATGTATGTATGTATGTATGTATGTATGTATGTATGTATGTATGTATGTATGTATGTATGTATGTATGTATGTATGTATGTATGTATATATGTATGTATGTATGTATGTATATATGAGGGATATGTGTTTATTTTTTATGTTGTGAGTGCGTGTATTTACACACATATATACAGCTATACCACGCGCATCCCTCACCACCCTCACAAGATCTCTAAGAATGTTGGAGCTGTTTTTAAAAAACTGGGATAGGGATTTGGTTTTTTGGCTTTTGTAGTGTAGTCCTACTATATTGCAATATTGACTAGCATGACGTAGAGTGCAGGCGGCGAGATCTGTTGCTAGGACACGCCCCTGAAGAGTGGCATTAGTTCAGGTCTCGGGCTCTCCGAAACGTCATTGGTGATCGCAGTGCATTCCTGAGGAGGGAGATCACCATTTATCCACTACTTGATTCTAATTGGTTATTATGGCACCAACATTTTTTTACCTCTTTAACCCATGTATTTTTGCGCTTTGTGAGCTTTTTATTATGTACTTGTTACATTTATGACATTTATATATTTTTATGTTACACAGGTGATTATCAGTTCTCAATTTTTTATCTAGAGTTTAGAACATATATAGTACCACATTTATTAGACATTTGTATGGTGCGATTATTTTAGTTATGAATACCATTATAAACCAGCGGATTTTTATTGACTAGTTTACTCATAGATCATTGTTTCATCATTTGCTAAAAGATGACTAGAGTGTGAGTTTTTATTCCGCTTTTCCTGAGTTGCTAACTTTTACTCCTCCTAATAAATAGTCTTTGCATTAATTTATGTTTTTTTTTTACCTAAATGACATCATCTTCAATCTGTTTTTATTTTCACATCTCCCAGGTCTACGTAACTGGATGGCTCCGTTGGTCACTTTTTGCGATCATTGTATCGCATAAGCAAATAAATTATGAATAAATTTCTCATAATATATATAGAAACTAAAATAAAATAAGTTTTTAAGATTAAACAACTAAAATTTTTACAATTTTTGTTCCACCTATATTATATATGTATATGTATACTTTTTCATTAACATTTGAGGGATAAAAAGATAATTTGAGGGGAAAAATTATTTCTAATTTAATTATAAATAAAAGTGTTGTTGAAAAAATGAATAGATAATGCTGCTGAAAAACAAAATGTTACAAATTAGTCACAAAAGAAAATGTTAATGGAAAAAAAAAGAAATTCACTTTTTATTTTTAGAAAAAGAAACCAAAAGAATTATACTTCAAACCTTATTGATTGTAGTTTGTTGTACGTTTCTCAAATTTTTAAGCAAACGCTGACATTTGTAAGAAAACTCTGCGCTTGTTTTTCTGTATGTATAACTCTCAGAATAAGGAAAAATAAGGTCTGCAAAAAATTGTCAACTTTAAACCATTTTAGGTTAGTACTAAAGTTTGAACCAAGGTTTGAAAAATCTACAAGCGAATGTTCAGCATAAAGTACAAGCAGAGTTCGAATGTTTAGTCAGAAAAATACAAGCAGAGTTTGCTGACCAGAGTTTTCAAACCTCAATGTTTGCTTAAAAATTTGAAACAAGAAAAAAAGTTTTGCTGATTTTATTTTAATTATTTTAATAATTAAAATATTAAAACAAACGGTTCACATTTGGAATTTAAATAGAATGTTTGTTTTTTTGGAATTTAAATAGAATGTTTGTTTTATTTTTATTATTTTATTAGCAATTTCAAAAAGTTTTCTTTCTTTTTTTTTGCATTATTTAATTTTACTTTTATTTTAGTTATTTTATTTAGAATTTAATTTTTTTGTTTTTGTATTTTGACTATTTTATTTAGAAAATTAGATAATACATTTGTTTCACGGTTCTTTTTTAAAAATAGTTAAATTCAGAAGTTAAATAAAACATTTTTTTTTGTATTTTGTATTATTAAATTTAATCTAAATGTTTGCTTTTTTGTTTTATTTTTTTTATATAGAATTAATATAAAACTTTTGTTTTACTGTTATTTTAAAATTATTTAGTTCAGATTCTAAATAAAACGTTTGTTTTGCTGTTTTTATTTTAATTATTTTAGGATTTAAACTAAACGTTATTTATTTTGTTGTTATTTCAACTATTTTATTTAAAAAATAATACACTTGTTTTGGCTTTTTTTTTAAACAATCTTTTTCATTTTCTTATTTATTTTAATTTAATTATCTAAAATTTAAATAACTAGACAGAAAATTGCTGACTTCAGATATTCTCAGGTTTGCACTTAGGTCGGCATTGGTGAATGCTGACCCTAATTCTGAGGGCTGTGTGTGTATGTATATATATGTGTGTGTGTATATATATATATATATATATATATATATAAACATATATATATATATACGGTCAACCTGCGGGCAACTGAAATAGTTTTTATTTATCATTTGAGTCGTCCGCTATGATTGTCAGTAGCTGAAGTCTTTTTTCGGTAATTTTTCTCAGGTGAAAATACTGAATTAAAAAAACTATTTGTCTAAACAAGTAATGTGTTAACAAAGAGATATTGGTAAAGAGATAACTAAAAATACAACTTTTAAAGATCGTTATTGTGTGACAATCTTTAAAAGTTGTATTTTTAGTTGTCTCTGTCTTAAGTTCGCTTTGGAGAAAACAAGTTGTCCCGTGCCACTGGACAACCACCAGGGTATACCCCTGCATTTATATAATAATATATAATATAAATAAATAAACAATTATACAAATATATAATATAATCAAAAATGATACAAAAGTAAAATTATTTTATTAATCAATGCTGATGGCATAAACTTAACAAATATAAACATGGCTAATTTTCTAAATAAACAATTTTACAAATTATTTAGCAAATCAACTGAATAAAAAAATGAATTAAGAATAGGTTTATCACCAAGAATGAATAAAAAATATACTTTAAATGGAGCTGCTATTTTTTTGCTATTAAATGTCAAAACAAAACTAGATTTAAAATTAGATTAGATGAAAACAAAGCAGCTGGAATCAATAATATTTCTCCTTATAATTTAAAAAACGCAGTTCTGCTCATAGCCTACCATTAAGTTTAATATTTATCCAAGCATATAACACTGGGGCTACCATATAACTATGGAAACAATTAAACACCACACCAATTCAACTTTTCAAAAAAAAAAGACTTTAACTAACTATTGACCCGTCTCATCATCACGGGTTATGAGTTAAGTAATGCAAAAAGTATTAAAAGATAATATAACAAAATACTTAAATTTACATAACTTAATTGCTAAAGAAAAACATGGAATCAATATATATAATAACAAATTTGCTTGAATCAATAGATGTGATAACAAATACAAGATATTTGACACCTAAAAGTAAATTTATGGAACCCATAAAAACATGCTATATCACTCTATGCATAAGAGTATCATTATTACTACAGAATCTTGAAAATTTTTTTTAAGAGACAGATTGTTTGTACCCCTTCTTTTCATAGCCCCTCCCTTGCTTTAAACAAGTTGTCAATGGCCATGTGTAATATTTATGCTGTAGAAATAAATAAATAATAAAATTAAATATACTTATTTATTAAAAAATAAAAATTAGTTGTTAAAACAATAAAATGGTCGTGTGTAATTTCTATGCTGTAGAAATAAATAAATAATATAACTAAGTATATACTTATTAAAAAATAAGAATTAGTTGTTAAAACAATAAAATCATTAGACATTAAAACAAATAAAATCATAAAATTCAAAAATCAAAAAAAATTAATATTTAAAAATAAATAAATCATCATTGTTTTTAAAACAATCAATTCAATGAAACAGTAAAATCAGTGAAACAAGTCTATTTTTAAACTTTATTTTTAAGTCTATTTTTAAACTATTTTTAAATTTTAAATTGTTACTAATACAAACCAAGTAACAGAGAAAAAAAATTACTTATGTTACTGGAGCCACCTTGTTCTGGTTCATTTGTCTCAAGTGCTTGATCTACCCATTGAAAAAAACTGCACTGTTCTCCTCTTGAATTTGGGCAGCAATAAAATTGACGTCCTTTATTTGGACCATCTTTTTGAACAGTTCGTCTATAATATAAATGCAACAACCTCTTATAAAAGAGTGAAAAAATAAAAAATAATAAAATAACAAAGTTCACATCAAAATACATCTAATTTTTTTCTCTATCTCTCATGCTCTTTTTCTACATATAATATTTAGATATTTAGGTATATGATAATTTATAATTATGATATATTTACGTAACATTAAATATAATTCTGAAATAAATAAAAAACCTATGTTTTTAGAAAAGCATAAACTTAAGTTAATCAAATTATTAAATAATTAAACTTAAATTAAATTTGACAACTAAGTGAGAAAAAAATGAAAGAAAAAAAGAATGTAAAATAAAAAACTCAGTTAAAAATTTTTTTCGATATTTTTCCCTTGAAAACAAACCAAAATAAATTCTACTTTATTTGGTTTTAAACATTTTATAAAACCATTAATATATTTTCTTAACGTCTTTACAAATATAAAACTTTTTAAAACAAAATATTCAACAAGAGGTGTAACAAGGAATGCAACTTTTACTTACTTTTTACAAATTACTAATATTAATTTCTAATATATTACTAACATAATTAATAAATATCTATATATCTATAGTTTTTATACTAAACTTTTTTCTTTCTTTTTCATTATTATCATATTAAATTGAGGAAATCAAACATTTTTCTTGTAATATATTTTTATTTTGATATCATGTCAAAATAAATGTGTATCCTCTTAAAAAAAATTATTTACACTCCAACAAATGCTTACTGTGCAGCAGGTAGTTCACAACCACATTTTGTATCATTGTTTGTACTAAATTAATGCAAATAGCAGAATTTTTTTAAGTTTTAAAATATGTAAACTCGTAAAAAAAATCTTAAAAATACTTCTTAAATAAAACATACTTGGATATAGGTTTGTTTACATTTTGCAAACCTAAAAAAAAAAAGATGTGTCACAATCTCATATACTAGATACATGCTTAATGAGCTCTTCAATACAACTTCAAAAATCATAAACTAAATACTATAAATTGAATAAACAACAAAAAATTTACCACTTTTATTTCCTTGTTCTTCTGACCATAAAAAAAAGTTACATGGCCTATCACTTTGTCCACATTTGAAAAACTGCCGACCTAAATAAAAAGAAGTCACATGGTTTATCACTTTGCCCACATTTGAAAAGTTGCCTTAAATAAAGTCAACAAAATAATTAAATTTAGAAAGAAAAAAGCAAACCTGTCTAAAAAACTGTAAAAAATCTTAATGTTTTATATACTATAAATAAAATAAACAACTAAAGTAGAATAACAATTTTTATAATATTATTACGTGATGTACACCTAGCTTGCAATACAATTTTAGATCAAAAAGTAAAACAAATAATTTACCTTGATTAGGTCCTTCTTTTTTTACAACAAGCTTAATGGCCGATTGATTACAGTTGCAAACCACATTACTATCATCTCCTTGATTGTTATTGAAACCTTTGTGATTTTTATTTACCAGATTATTTTGTTTATGCTTTGTTGTAGTACTTGAAAATTTATTGTTTTTTTGTATATTTGTTGTAGAAAAAGATTGCTTTTTTGTTCCATGTTGATTCTGATTGGAAGTTTGTTTGTAGTTAGTTTTTTGTTGATTATTATTAAATTGACATTGATTATCACGCATCTGGATTCCACCTGAATTATTAAATGCGCCATGGCCAAGATCAGCTCTTCTTAAAGGTGGAGGGTTATTAACAGGTGCTAATAAATAAATAAATAACGATTTGCTTAATAATCAGCAATGATCAAAATAACTGTATAGATTGTAAACTAATAATACATGTGCTACATAAATTATTCATAAATTATCATAACTTATCATAACTGATTTAAAATGATCAAACAGTTAAATAATGATGATAATACTTTGTCTCTATAATTTTATGGTAACCAATTAAGTAATGCATAACTAACTACATCTTTTTCATAATGATGTTGTTATTAAACTAAGAACAAACACTATAAATACAACTCTGAAGTCAACAATTTGTGCTTGTTGACAGAAATGTGAATTTCTGTCAAAAAACACAAATTATATATATATACTTTTGAATTGACAAAAGTATCTCTCTCTCTCTCTCTCTCTCTCTCTATATATATATATATATATATATATATATATATATATATATATATATAAAAAAAAAAAAAAAAGAAAAAATTAGGGAGAGCAATCAAATTTTAACTTTTTTTAAGGTTATTTAAGAACATTTAAGGAGGTTTTTATTTTTTAAGGATATTTAAGGTTTTTAAAGAGGTGTGGGACCCTTTATATATATATATATATATATATATATATATATATATATATATATATATATATATATATATATATATATATATATATATATATATATATATATATATATATATATATATATATATATATATATATATATATATATATATATATATATATAATATGACAAATACAGAGAAGAGCTTACTGATTCTTTAGCTTTCAAAATATCAAATGCTCAGAACCTTAAGCTTGTAACTTACAATATTTAATTTTAAAAGTTTAAATATTAAAAATACAGACTTAAAAATAACAAAGCCTTATCTTAAAAATAACCTAACATAAGTTTAAAGAAAAACCCAACAAATAAACTTGGCTGTTTTGACATTATTGGATAGCTGTTTCATTGCAGAAGACAATATTATTTAACTTTTAATACTATAAATGGAATTGATTTTCCTGTAGTAGATACTTATTTAGATTGTTTCTTGCCTAAAATAATGCTAGATCTTTCTGATGCATGGATTTTTGAGGGTACAGATCTAAAACTAACTTTAATGGCAATGTAGCACATGAAAGATTTCCTTATTAACGTTTTTAGTGTTGTTGTGTTTGTTGAGGCCACATAAGGAACCTTATATGACCTCATAACCTTTATTATAACAGTGAGTTGATTAGAAGATATGAGGCAACCACATAGATTATTAATTATGGTGTCATGCACTATCTATGATTAAGCCAAGCTCTTTAATTTTTAAAATAATAAAGTACAAAAAAATATTACCATAATTTAAACTTGGCTGTTTTGACATTATTGGATAGCTGTTTCATTGCAGAAGACAATATTATTTAACTTTTAATACTATAAATGGAATTGATTTTCCTGTAGTATATACTTATGATTTACACATACACCATTCAATAAAAACTGATTTACCATTGGGCATAACAGCGAATACAGCTGTTTTAGATAAAAGAAGAAATATCCAATGAAATTTGGTAGATGTATACACATAGCATGTTCAACTTTTATTATGTTTAAACTAGTAAATTCAGAGGTAACTGTGGTGCCCATTTATAGCAATCATTTACATATATAAATTTTATCTATTTTAAGATCAATAATAACTGTTTAAAAATAATTTATATAGTATTAAAATAATAATCTTAATAATCAACATTTAAAATTATGTTTAAAATGTACACCAGATATTTTAAAATGTTTCACCGGATGATGTCTAAACCTATTGATCAATTACTAATAAAAAGCACATGAAAATAATATATTTTTATTATTATAATTAAGCTCTAAGGAGTATATATTACAGCATTAAAGAATCAGGGAATCAGTGACCTGGGTGCTTACATTATAGATGGTTACTGGGTCAATATGTTATTAACTTCTCTACCATATAGATAGAATAAAGATAAACTGTTCTACCATACAAATAGAATAAAGATAAATAAAAAGAAAAACCCACAAGCACTTTATAAAGCATTTTATAAATCTATCAGACACAAAAAAACCAAATTGAATGAATGAATGGATTCCTAGACCAAATAAATATAGGAATGCTGTTTCAACAAATAGTGTAGACAATTAGAAAATAGTGTACAATTTTTTCAATCAAATGAACACAAAAAAACAACATATTTTTTATTTTTACTGTTTTTATTTTTTATTTTATTTTTTATTTTATTGTTTTTTATTTTTACTGTTTCTAATTAAGGTTTAATGAAGATAAAACAAATAAAAATTTCTATTTATATAGCATTTGTTAAATTGTTGAAACATTGATTTGAACAACTATTCGTGAGAATTAATTGGTTAAGCAATGGTTTAAAGAACTATTCATGAGAATTATTTGTTCAAATACTATATGGCGTTCAGACATTTAAGAAACTTTCAAACTAAAACTGATTGAATTTGTAATTTGTTTGTTGCAATCTTTTTACTTGTTTCAAAGGCAGAAAATTGGGTAGTAAAGAACTTTCTTTGGAACAGAGCTATATATATATATTAAAAAAAAAAAAACTGTTTCTTAAAACTGTTATTTGATTTATGAACTTAAACAAGAGCCAATAAGTGTTAACAAATAAAAAAATAATTATTAATTTGTTTCATACCAACACCAGTATTAATATTGATATTTTCCAGAGATATATATCTGTATGTAACCTTACTAAAATTAATTATAATACAACTCAACAACTCAATGAAACAGCTAACCACCAACAATAAAAATAAGTGACATCATCATCAAAATAACTGACTACTTAACTGTCACAGTGATGTCACAATCAGTGATGTCACAATTGTTAATGTTATAATACTTGTACACTTTAACAGCTTTCTATCAATGTGTTTTACTGTTATAAACCCATTTGAAAAAAAAAAAAGAAGACTGTGGCTACTGGTTTATGTTATATATGCACTATATTTAGTTAAAAAATATTTTTTTAACAAGAATTGTATTTATGTACACTTTTAGATGCAATTAAACTTATTTTGATAATATTAACATAAATACCGATAGCATCTCTGGCTGCAAGAGCACCAATTAACATTTCATCGCATCCACCAATACAACCAATATAACTAAAAATTAAATAATAGAAAGACAGAAATAAAAAATATTCAAATACAATTTAAGATTTAAAATTACAACATGAACTACACAAAAATTTTTGTTTTGCAACATACTGTTCTCCAAAACCTGGCGGCATGCTTCCACGTTTAAAGTGAAACTCAATTTTATGAACAGGATGTGGCTTGCAATGCAAGCAGGTTGTATCAGATCTCACAGCGTTCAACAAAAACTTTGGAAAAAACAAACTGTTTCGACAATTTGGGTAACCCATGCAACCCAAAAAAAAGCTGAAATATAAAATTAACATTACTTTTAAATTGTAGTTATTATATTACTTTTTATATATATTATTATTATATATTAATATATTTCTGTTATTATTTTTTTATATTATTAAAATATAATAACTAAGCAAAAAAGTAATTTTTAATGAAATTTTTTGTATTTATATAATATTATATTATTTATACTAATTATATATATTGAAAATATTATTTATATTATATATTTTATTTATATTATATTATAAATATTATTTATATTATATTATATTATACATATTATAAATGAACATTATTTGGTTAAAATAAACCTTTACAAGGTATCACTTTTTGTTGAAAAAAAAAAAAACTTTTAATAGGTATAAAATATAAATTTGAAATCACCTTCCTTCTTTAGTTTTACGCAAGGTCATGTTATTTCCACATTTAGGACATTTGCGAACAGGATCAGACATTTCATTAAATATATCTTTAAAAAAAAAAAAAATTTTAATATTAATATTGTAGCATATATGTATGTATGTATGTATGTATGTATGTATGTATGTATGTATGTATGTATGTATGTATGTATATATATATATATATATATATATATATATATATATATATATAAACATATTATAACAAATAAAATAATTAATTTATAAAATAATATTATATTATAACATATAACATAATATGTAATATAATTATGGTATATAATATAAAATATAATAATAATAAAGCTTTTTGAAAAGACTTAACAAATGAATTGCATGATGGTTAAAATTTTTAAATGCTAGTTATTAAAAATCTTTTTATGTTTATTAAAGTGATCTAAGAAGTCCTGTCACAAAGCACTACAAAAGTGCATTTAAAAAGAAAGTTTACACTGCCTTCCTTGCCGATCTAACCTATTTGGCCATGACATATATTAATTCCATCTCACCATTCTGGCTATGGTTGTTTAAATTTCACTTAAACTTTCTTTAGTTTAGTTTTATGCAAAAAAATAAGTTTAAAAAAAGTAGAATAAGTAATTAACAATGATTTTTTTTTTTTTCCTTCAATAAAACTTTTTTTTATACATGTCCTTTCTAAAGAAATTTGTATACATGTATATAAATATGTGTATATGCATGTACACTGTACAAGGTTTTTCAGCTTTTAATGAACAAATAAGATGTTCCCAAGTATGTTCTCTAGGATTTAAATCTGGGCTTGGAGAAAGCCACTTCAAAACCTAAGTTTTTTAGAATGGAAAAAAATTATTATAGAATTTGTATGGAGTTTTGAATCATTGTCTTGCTATAAAATAAAGCCTTGAAACATTTTGTCTTTACCATGTGGCAACTAGGGATGCAATAGAGAGGTGTTTGAGAGATCTGTCAAGGGATGCAATGGAGGTCTATTGGAGCAAGAGATTTTAACTGAAATTTCAATTCACATATTAAAACTATCTTTTAATAAATATTGTCTTAAACCATCACTCTCAAGTTTAAAAGAATGTGCTGTGTCCTAAAATTAGATCTTTGTTATAACTTCCAATTTGAAATTATTGGAACTAGAGAAAACCATTCAAAACTTCCAATCTTTTAGCACATGAGTTGAAGCTCAGTAATATCTTTAATGTTTATGAATTGATTCTTTTTTGCTGCAAATGTTATTTGGTATTATTAATTTTTTCTTTCGACTTTATTATAACTACAAAAATTATCTATAGCAAATTAATTTTGTAATTAAGTAAACATAATATGCATTTTTAAATGTTTTTCTTAATAAAATAATGATTTATTTTATGGAGCTGTTTATAAACTTTTGCATGATTAATTTTTCAATAAAATCTGTTACAAGTTATTTTTTTTGAGTTAATTATACTATGTAGTTATTTTAGAAAAACAATTGCTAAAAATATTTATTTATTTAAATTTCAGTATGAAAAGCAAAAATTTTATAGCATTTATAAACTTTTGCATGCTACTATAAATATACACAGGTTTCTTCAACATAACAATGTGATGAACTATGGCATGCTTCCAATTAATTTTTTTCATAGTTTTAACTTTACAAGATTTATCTTTTTCATAAAACCTTGTTAATTATAACAATTTTTTTTTTTTTTGAATCAGCTTTGGAGTTATTTTGTATTTAGAAGGTAGACTCATTGGTCACGAACCCTCAATATGGTGCGAAAAAGTCCATTACAATTTGTGTAATTTTTCATTGAGAATATTGTGTATTTTGTAGAAGATGTCACTGATTATTGCAGTTGCAATAATTGTTGCTATACAAAATTTCTTCCCATAGCTGAAAATTTAAATTTAGAAATTCAAAAAGATTTGAATAAATATAAAAAAATACATGTCTAAATATGATTTAAGAGATTTTTATTACGAGAGTAAGTACTAAAATACAAACTTTTTTTTCAGACATGTCTCAAATGATTTAACCACCCACAGACATGTCTCAACCTTGTGATTTTTGTGGAAATACAAAGACTTGGATCTTTATGCTTCAACCTGTTAATTAAAAATTTACTTTCTTCTGCTGTAAAAAGAGTAGAATTTTATTTATTTTGATTAAGCATTTGCATTTAAGTTTAATTAGTTTTATTTTATTCTGTATTTTGTTTCCCATTATTAATCTGTTTCACCTGCAGTTTAGTATAAGTAAAACCTTTTTTACCTGATTTTTTCTAATTTTTTCTTTAGAAAATTTTTTATTTTCTGTTGTTTGTGACAACATACGCATTAACATTCACTCTAGGAATAGGAATACTTTTATCCATTTTGAGGGCATGATAATTGAGTTTCAGAGTCAGGTTCAGATTTTCAGTGATAATTTCAGTACACAAACCATTTTGGTTTTTAAACTCATCTGAAAATCTAGTGTTGGGTATGTGGAGTTGTTAAATTCTTAAATACTCTCCTAAATATCCTGAATATCTCCAATATCTCCTAAATATCTTGACCTTGTAGTAAATCTGTGCATTAGTAAAATAGTAAAGTATGTAGTAAAGCTAATGCATATCATTGATGTCATTGCATATATATAAATATAAAGATAAAAAACAAAAAAAAAAATTTCAAACCATCAGTAACATCAGATGCCTCTCCAAAGTATTTTGATAATGAATCATCAAGTTTTTGCACCTTAATAAAAATATTACCAAATAAATAACAGTAATTATAAGGTAATAACAGATTAATTAAAAAAATAAAAGTAACAAAATTATAATTAGATTAAAACAACTTTTTTTCCTAAGCTTTTAAGCTTTCGGTTTTTAAAAAAAATTTTAAGATCAAAAATAATTTTGACTTTAACTGTGGATACATACTTGAGCAACAGCCTGTTCAAAAACGTTTTTGTAACTTTGTATTTGCTGAGTCAGCACTTCTATAATAACAAATTTACAAAATTCTAGTTTATAAGTTACTTTTATTATTATAATATTCACTCAGTATTATTAGCTACAGTAAATTTTAAAAGTAGCACATAAAAAATATTACCTTTCTCATTTTTTAAACCTTGGCATATTCTAAATGAAAATATTTTAATATGTATAAAAATTGTTTAATATTTATAACTTTAATTATTGATATTTGTCATTTTGTTAATACTTTCTTTTATAACTTGTATAATTTATAATCCATTTATTGAATTAGAAAATTGTTACAACCCTCTATCAACTTTATCACTCAAAAACATAAAAAATATTTCTCCTTTTTAAATTTTGGTAATATCCATAAGCCTTATTTATTATACTGTTGAATATATTCTTCATTGTAACTTTTATCTTTTATACTATTTTTATAATAGTGTTGGTAACATTTATTGTCTAAATAATATACTAAAGTTTAGAACCCTTACAGCACTAAATCTGCTTCAAGACTTGCTCTTAAATGAGGTTTAGACATTGCAAATCCCATGGCATCATAACCTACATTTGAAATAAAATTAAGACGATCGTCAAGAAATTAATAATTAAAGATAGCAATTAGAATATAATAAATAATCATTACAATTTATAATAATAATTACAATTTATTATATAATATAATTATTAGAAATAAAAACTCTGATCTTCATCAGTGCTCAAAATAGCGGCCGATCAAGGATAAATGATCGCTACTTTTAAAAAAATAGACCTATCGCCTAGAGATCGCCTAAAATTAAACCTGGCCGATCAAATTTGATCGGAAGTATTTGCTCGTCAAACTTTAATAATAATTAATAGAAAAACATTTGAAATACAGAAGGTTAAAAATATTAAATTAACATCAAAATTATATTAAAATTAATTACATTTTAAATTTAATTCATTTTAATTTAATAACAAACAACTTATTTAAATTCTAAATAAAATAAAATCATCAAAATAAACGTTTTACTTATTTTCTAAAATAAAAAAACAGCAAAATCAAAAACTAATTTATGTTTTATCTTAAACGAACATCTTTTAATAATTTTTTTTTAAAAAATTAAAAATTATCTTATTATAATTCTAAATAAAATTATTTATATTCTAAATAAAATAATTAAAATAAATGCGGCAAAACTAATATTAATTTAAATTTTAAACAAAATAATTAAAATAAAAACGGCAATGTTTTATTTATCCTCAAGAAAAAATATTTGAAAAGAATTACGGAAAAAATGAATGTTTATTAAAGTTTTAAATAAACAAATTTATTTTGAAGCAATTGATTATGTAAGGTTAAAAAAAAAATTGATTTTAAATTTTAGTAAAATTTAATAAAAAATTGATCGTCTAAAAAATGATTTGATCATCTGGTTTTTAATTTTTTTATTTCAGCCGATCAATCTTGATCGGCAACTATTGAGCAATTATTTCCAGCTTCATTAAAAAAAAAAATCAAACTGAATACAACTTTGATTATGAAAATTACTTTAAGTACAAAACAAAGTACAAATGAAATCATTTGTAACCTTCTACTAAAGCCATTCCAAGTTGACCAGGCAAAAAAGTTCCATCATGTTGGACACCAACATAGTTTCGAGATTTAATTGTTTCAATATGTTCAGCATGTGTAGCATCAGTACCTATAAGTAAATTTTTCTTAAAAGTCAACCAAGTACTTCTCGATTCACATATCATGAATTTCATTTTTCATCATTACATCATAAATGATGTAATGATGAAAACTTAATCAACTTAATATCTACATTATATATATATACATTTTATGTAGATGAACAAAAAGGTAAAAACTTAGTGTAGGGGAGAGTGACACTGTGACACATGAGGCAATTAAGAGGACACTGTGATACATGAGGCAATTAAGCGTTTACATAGGCATATACAGATACTGTGATCAATTTTGCTGATAAATAATCTACTACTAGATGTATTGCTTAAAGCATAATTCAAAACATGTTAATTAAAGATGTCACGAATGTTTGGTGACATCTTTAATTAACATGTTTTGGCCTTATTCGACTACTTTTTTTACTATTCAATATTCAGCTTAATACCTAATAAACTATACATACTTTGAAAATTTCTAATAAACTATACATACTTTGAAAAATAATTCCACATCTTCATGTGTGCATATTTTTTGTAGAAATTGGTTTGATTGTTTTCATTTACATTTCTTTTCCTTACAAAGAGGAGGTGAATCATCACCGGTGCTACTAGGCAGTGGTGATGGTTCATCAGCATCAAACACCCTTTTACTGAAAAGGATTAACCCTTTACTGAATTATTTTTGTTTTCCTAGTTATGTTTTAACTAATTCCTTGAAATTAGTTTAAAAGCATGCATCAATAAAAAAGGCTACCATATATTTGACATTCCCATTAAAGTTAAACAATAAGTTAAACCCATAGTTCAATTTGAAAATGATGATTATGAAGTTAATAATTGTGAATTAAATAGAGTGAAATTGTGGTGAAATTGAAACTAATAAAATTTTAAAACACTAATGAAAATGGTAAATAAAAAAAAAAATCAGTAATAATTTTGTAAGCGAATAAAGAAATTTGTAATTATTAAATTATATTAAAAAAATACCAATTCCATGTTTGTCCATTAATGTAATCAGATCTGCTTCAGTAAGCAATGGAGGAGGACAGGTTTCGCCTGATACTAACTACAAAAAAAAAACAAAAAAATAAATCAGTTTCACAAGCTTATTTGAGATGATTTCAGACTAGATCGCATCTAACTCTAAGGTGACTTAGCAACTCTGAATAACAAAAAAAATTGACAATGTAAATTTAACCAATGGTTTCTTTTATTGAATATATATATATATATATATATATATATATATATATATATATATATATATATTATTATTATAATAACGTAATACTTAGCCACAGCAATGGATGTTAATGCCATTTTAAGCTGTAATAATGAATATTAGAATAGACATATAAAATTTTATTATTTAAGTATGCCAAATTAAATGCATCTTTTTTTGGGTCAGTTAGGGCAGCAAATGAATAATCATCCACTGTTCTTTAACATGTAATTAAAAAATATTGTGGATCAATATTAAGTAGATCTTCTATACAAATTAGAGGTTTAAACAATCTCCTGTATGAACTAAGACAGCTAGCGCTAAATATGGCAAGTGTAAAATATAGACTTATTTGTGGAGATCTAATTAATGTCTCCAAATGGGGCAATAATAATTATTGTACTGTTTAAGTGTAAAAAAATAAATCTATTTGAAATCGATAAACAATTCATTACTTGTGGTCATATACTTAAACTAAAAAAACATTCCTCTCGCTTAAATATGCGTGCAAACTTTTTTTTCTAAAAAAATATTTAATAAATCTCTTCATAATGACGTAGTAAAAGAACCTTCACTAAAAAAATTTAAGATGATTCTGGACAATTATCTCAAAAATGAATGACTTTACTTTGACTGATATGCATTAAATGCTTTACTTTGACTGATATGCATTTGACATTAAAACTATTTTAACAATTTTTTATTTGCGCTATGTACATTTTATATTAATATATTATATTAATACTTAACCACAGTTATGGATATTAATGCCTTCTTATGCTGTAATAAATAAATATTTATTATAATATAATAAAATAATAAGTTAATTAAAGATAAATAAGTTTAATTTTAATATTTAAATGTTCAAAAAATATTAAAAAAATTAAAAAGTTAAAAAAAAAAAGCTATTATTTACATATATTTATATTTTTAGACATACATGATGATCACAAAATTCGAATATTCAAATATTTTTACATGAAAATAATATTAGTATTTTTAACTCTAAAGCTCATGAACAACTTTAACCTATTTAAGTTACAAATTTAAAGTGAAGATATTCATAGTGGATTTGTATCAGTACTTGTATCAGTCTTGTATCAGTAGTGAAAAATTAAATGAATTCACCAATTTTTTTTTTTTAAAAAGATGGAGGATTGCATAAAATACTAACACAGTATTTGAAAAAAAGTCCATGGATCAGCACAAAAACAAGGCATAGAGTCAAGAATATTAGAAAAGCTAATCTTATCTGCTATTAATCTTTTAAAGCCAAAAGGTAAGTCAATAGATGTACAACTACAATTCAAATGCTAAAAGAGTCAGATAGGTCTTGCTCAGAAGCAATACCATATTCTCCCACAAAGCTTTAGCTATTTTACAATCACTGAGAAATGAAACCATGACTGTTGGGTCCAACATTTATCCAACTTACAATTCTCTAAGTCTGCAAGGCTTTTTAGATCATACAGCCTCTTGTTTGTGCCTTTTACAAAAAAATATTTAATTCATTTGATCTGTCATCTCTTAAACTGTTTATGTTGCAACACAAAATTGTTCTGCTCAAAAGATAAAAAATTTTGAAAAAATTGTTCCAAAAAATGAAAACACAAACTACTCTGGTCTGTAGTATGGTTTTCCATCATTACATGCATGGTTTAGAACAATGGAATGCAGCCTACACCTTCCCTATAAATTAAAGAGACAGAAGTTGTAGGTGCGTAGCACAAAAAACAAGGTATGTGACAACAAACAAAAAAAAAATAATTCAAGAAAGCCTTTAAAATTTGTCTTGGATGTGCTCAGATCTGATGGACATTAAATGTTAGAAATATAGTTCTTCGTTTTTTTCAGTCTGAAAGTTTGGAGCTGGGGGGGGGGGGGGGGTTAGGGGGCAAAATAAACTTTTTTTTAGATTTTTTGTAGTATAACCACTTTTTCTTAATTTTTTATGCTGATTTTAAACTTCACAATGTTTTTTCCTTAACTATCAATATTTAGCCTTCTACTCCAATTTTTATAAAAGCAATTATTTTGACAAAGCAATTAGATGTTAAATTATGTTCTACATTTCTTATATTTGAAAATAATAAACTCATTATTATTTTCAAATATAAGAAATGTAGAACACATGGTAAATTTTTTTTTTCATTTTATTAATAAAATGTATAATCACTATGCCTAGTTATAAATAACACAAAAAATTAGGCATTTTACATCATCAAGATAGTTTAATATTAATAATAATTTGTTTTGACTTCTATTGAAAGTGTGAAATAACTTTGTGGAAGTCATCGTAGGTGATTGTGGATTTATATAATGAGTTTTAAATTAGTAGCATATTCTTCTTTAAGACAGCCCTTTTTTGTATTTTTATCAAAAATCATGTTTTTAAATTCGATCTCCACGGTAATCACCTAATTGTATCTTTAAAATTTTTGTTCTTCAATCAATTTTGGCAATTTATCAGATCTTGTTCTTCTTTAATATATTCACTGACATCTGATCCACAAGTAAATGTGCCGCCTTGTTAAAATATAATTTCTCCTGGATGCCTGATGAAAAGCTTGTTATTCTTTTTTAGTTAAGCCGCTTTGTCTCAGTTGAATCTGTTGCTGGTTCCAACTGTATTCTATACTTTCAACTTTTCTAACAATGGGGCCCAATTTCCAAAACAGTTCTAAACTATTTGAATCTTTATTTCTCAAATGGTTTAAATATTTAAGAACATTACATTATTTAAGAACATTTAATGTTAAAAATAGCAATATACATTTTCTATAATAATATAAAGACTAAATTTTATAACACACAAATATTTTATAACTAATTATTCAACAGTATAATTTTTTTCATGATATTAAAATACTTTAAAAGCCATTTTGTATATAAGGATAATAATTTTGACATTAGTTATGGTCAACAATATAACTTGAACAAAAAACTTGAATAAAAAATTAAAAAATCCACAACTTTAATTGTTCAGCATAGTCTGAGTGGTTTTTTCATCTTTTATAACGAACCATATATTTTTTTAATATCATAATGAACAGACTTTTTTTCTGAATCCATTATTAAGATTAGTATTTTTTAGAAATTGTATAAAAAAATTCTTTTTAGAAATAGTTTAAAAATTGCAATATGAACTTTCTATGGTTTTCCTGGGTATATTTAAAGAATTTATTAAAATATTCCATTAAAGTAGCCTTAAATTCTATAACAGCTAGTTCAATATTAGCATTAATATTTTCTTTTTTATTAATTACCTAAACTTTTTCTAAAATTAATTACCTAATTATTTAACTGTTACCTAATTATTTAACTGTTGAAAAGTATCTGGTTGCTAAGCAATATAAATCTCCATAGCAACTAAGTAAAAAATTTTTACTTAGTTGCCAATCACTTTAATATGAAAAGCAACATCATCTTAGTACACATGTCAAATTTAGTGAATATAGTAAAAAATCTAGTAAAAAATCTGCAATTGTTATTTTCTTTATTTCTTGAAACTTTCTAATTAAAAAACATTTAATTGTTAGAAACCAAGTTTTCCTTGATTACTAATATCATATTAATTAAAAAATTTATTGTTGCCATAAAATCTAATACTGTGGCCTTTTAAAAATATACAATTTAAGATTAACTATTGTTACAATATGTTGATGATAGTCATGCAAGATTTCTTAACATCAAAAAAGCAAAACAGTTCCAAGATATTTAAAATCAACAACATTCTGCAATAAAATACATAATTAGAGTTAAAAACAAGACAAAAACACTGAACTTTCTTGATATAACCTATATAAAAAACACATTAGGAAAATTTTGAGTACAAAGTATATTGAAAAAAGGCAATCACTAACAGTCAAATTAAACCGCATTCAAATCACAATCCAAATATTTTAATGACTTTATATAAAGGATTTCTCCACAGAACTTACTATCTGTAGTAAACATTAGTTGTAAAATGAAATAAATTTTGACATGTTTATTGAAAATGGGTACAAAAGCAATCAAGAAATGTTACACACCAATTTCATCAAAAAAAGATAAAATAAAAACACAATTCCATTGGAATGCAATAATTTTTGTGTAGAGTCTTTACCATGGGTACCAAGTACCCTTTCACCAAAATTTCGAAAAATATTCCGAAAAGCAGGATACAGAGCAGTATTTCAATAAAATTTAAGATCTTTATTAACATCAAAAACAAATCAAAACTATCTAGTAACAGCCAGCTTGGAACCTATATAATAAAATGCAACTGTTCCAAAGTTCACATAGGCGAAACAAAAATGCAGGTAAATATGTGGATGCATCAACATCAGAGGATGACAAAACTGACAAAAAGAAACTTTATCAATCTGCACTAGCATTTCATAAAACCTTTTGTAAAGAAAATATTATTTGGGAAAAAACAAGAAAATTAAGAGTAAAAAATAAAAAGTTTGAAAGAAAAATTAGAGAGGTACTAAAAATACAAAACAACATGTGCTCTGCGCGAAACAGCAGGATTAATTTTGATGAAGGTCAATATGTCAAAACTATGTCTTGGACGTTTTAAATTTTATAAATTTAAAAACAAAAGAAGCCATTCAACTTTTTCAATTTTTTGGTAAATTTTTAATGTGTGTATACATACATATATATATATATATATATATATATATATATATATATATATATATATATATATATATATATATATATATATATATATATATGTATATATATATATATATATATATATATATATATATATATATATATATATATATATATATATATATATAATCTCTAAATATTAATACTGCAAAAATTCAATGTTCAATGTTCAATGTCGT